TTTCAATTCGATATTTTCGGGGTTGTGAATTTCTCACGTAAAATATACTTGTCCACTTTTTAAAGAGCGCGTAAGTGAGGTATGAAATAGTATTAGTTGCATTCTTTCCTTCGCATCACTAATTCTGAATTGCATTTTCAAGCCACGAATGACCAAAATGATCGAGGTATTTTCGAAATAGCTACATCAATTATATTACTCATGATGAGATTCCATATGGACGCCGAGTGAATAATCAAATTATGTTAGAAAGAGTAATTGATTCAAGAATTTTTCAGTATAGTAAATGAGTAAAAACATTGAATTTATGAATATAATAATTTTCTGCAATAGAATATGCAAACAGTATAACTCTATGTATGCGAGAATTTTACTATATTAAAAATTGTTATTATATGATCAATTCAACGATTGGATAACTCTTCATTCTATTTCTTCAGGGGATTGTTCACTCAACCTTAACTCTAATCGAGCGACTACCGTATTCTAGAGAATTAAGTTTCAGTAGTTAGTGCACTCGATATTCCGCATTTGGGCGTCGTGACCAACCCCTCATCCCCCTCTTTGCACTGTTGATTGACATCAACATCTTGCTTTTTATCCTCATCTACCTGCACNAAAATTGTTATTATATGATCAATTCAACGATTGGATAACTCTTCATTCTATTTCTTCAGGGGATTGTTCACTCAACCTTAACTCTAATCGAGCGACTACCGTATTCTAGAGAATTAAGTTTCAGTAGTTAGTGCACTCGATATTCCGCATTTGGGCGTCGTGACCAACCCCTCATCCCCCTCTTTGCACTGTTGATTGACATCAACATCTTGCTTTTTATCCTCATCTGCCTGCATTTTATTTTGTACTTCACTAAATTTTTTCGGGTATGTATGATCCAATGCCATGAGGAAGAGGCAGGTAAACAATATTTTATATCTATATTCCAACACTTGTTCCTTGGTTATATTCCCTATTCCTCTATCATGCGTTGAAACATTCATTACATAATGTTGAAATTTATTCTTTATTCCTTGTTCCTAATGTTTGTTCTCAATTCCCTGTTCTTTTTGATTGTGCGCCGGCCCTAACTCGGCAGTAGCAGTCCCGCTATCACAGGGATAGTTTCGGAGGCGAATTTATGCTCTCCTCGTCCTCAACATGTTCTTAATGTTTTTCAGGTGATTCATTTGCTAGCTAATTAATATTAAGGAATGAAACCCAGACGGTGTGATGGAGAATTTGGAGAATTAAATTCTCCATCAATCAATCCCCGTTACATCCCTTAATCTCTGTAACAAAAAAATACAAACTACGATAATAGTCATGGGCCAGTGAGAAACATAATTTTCTTCTCGGCGCACAGTCACTTTTCACCATTCGCCCGCGAATTAAAAATTTGTCTTTCCCCTCCTAATTGAAATTAAGGGATAAAAAAAAGGCTGTTTGACGGAGAACTAAATTACCCATCAATTNAAAATATAAACTGCCATGAAAGTCATGGACCAGTGAGAAAAATAATAGTTTCGCGGCGCACAGTGACTCCCGGTAATTAAAAATTCACCTCTCCCCTCCTAATTGAGATTAAGAGATGAAAAAAGGGCAGTTCGATGGAGAATTAAATTCTCCATTAATTAACCCTCTTTCATCCCTTAATCTCTGTAACAAAAAAAAAACTGCCATGAAAGTCAGGGGCCAGTAAGAAAAATAATTTTCACCATTTGCACGCAAATTAAAAATTCACTTCTCACCTCCTAATTGAGATTAAGAAATGAAAAAATGGCATTTCGACGGAGAATTAAATTCCCCACCAACTGACCCTCTTTCATCCCTTAATCTCTGTAAAAAATGGAAGAAATTTTCATGGAAATAACAGCGCAGTAAGAAAAAAAATTGTTTTGCGGCGCACAGTGACTCCCGGTAATTAAAAATTCACCTCTCCCCTCCTAATTGAGATTAAGGGATGAAAGAGAGTTAATTGATGGAGAATTTAATTCTCCGTCGAACTGCCGTTTTTTCATCCCTTAATCTCAATTAGGAGGGGAGAGGTGAATTTTTAATTCGCGGGCGAATGGTGAAAAGTTAGTGTGCGCCGCGAAAAAATTATTTTTCTTACTGGCCCCTGAGTTTCCTGGCAGTTTTTATTTTTTTGTTACAGAGATTAAGAGATGAAAGAGGGTTAGTTGATGGGGAATTTAATTCTCCGTCGAACTGCCCTTTTTTCATCCCTTAATCGCAATTAGGAGGGGAGAAGTGAATTTTTAATTCGCGGGCGAATGGTGAAAAATCACTTTGCGCCGAAAAGAAAATTATGTTTCTCACTGGCCCATGACTTTTATCGTAGTTTGCATTTTTTTGTTACAGAGATTAAGGGATGTAACGGGGATCGATTACATTCCCCATCACACCGTCTGGGTTTCATTCCTTAATATTAATTAGCTAGCAAATGAATGACCTGAAAAACATTGAGAACATGTTGAGGACGAGGAAAGCATAAATTGCCCTCCGAAACTATCCCTGTGACAGCGGGACTGCCAGTGTTGCCGCAGCACCAAATGAAAAGGGGCTCCGAAAAGGGGCCTGCTAAGACCAAAAAGTGCCGGCTAACACCAAACAGTGCCGCTAGATGGAGCTACTTGAGTTTTGCTATTACTCCCAAGCAGCACAGTTCTGGAGGGTATCTGCAAGTATACCAAAAAGGCTGTCTAATGTCTGTCCAAAAAGGTAACTTGTGTCTAGAAGTTACCTAGAAGTTGACTAAAAGTTATCGTATGACTGCAAGATACCTATTGGACGGACATTAGTCTGCCTTTTTGGTATACTTTCAGATATCTTTTGCAAGGTTTGCTACTTGGGCTGACAGGGAAAAATTCGTTGTTATTTTCATCGCATTGGACTTCAATGCTCGTTTCGTCAACACTCAATACGGTCTTGAAATTATCCATTTTCTTTCCATTCTGATTATTTGCATTGGTTTCTACGTCCCAAGGTCGATCACTCGAAGCTCGGGAGTTGGTGTTCCTTGATACCATTTTGATGACAAACCTAATGATGAAAATATAGAAAATACCGACAAATGTGAAAAATAGTAGAGAAGAGAATTAAACCCTTATTTTTAGATTCCACATTAATGTTGATTAGTAATTATGGTATCGATGTCAAACGATTGACTGAATTGAGGATAATCAGCCACAGTTTTTCTCTTTATTTTGAATTGAAAACTTGCAACGGAATTAGAAATGAAATTCAATGTTCGTAGGTAGATGGAATACTGCACGAAATGTAAACACAAGGGATCACCACGATACAGTCGCTTGGGTAGCTTCGAACGACTGTTGCGTAATACGTATATTCGCTTATACCGGCCGGCAGCCGATAGCTAGCTTAAACCCAACACTCGGATTGGGAATTGGCGTGGGAGAAATAATTAGATTTGTTAATTGCCATGGATCGTCCGTTCCCTCTGGCGCCATCTGATGGGAAAAATGAAAAAAAAAAGAAAAAAAACATCCAAATAAGGTCACCGTCCAAATCCTGAGACCTAGAAATGAAAAAGTGCCCGTGATCTGAAAGGGGGGCTTTTGGGGCAGCAAGGAGCAAAAAGTGCCCGGAATGACACAATTGTGCCCATGTGGCAACCCTGGGGACTGCTACTGCCGAGTTAGGGCCGGCGCACAATCAAAAAGAACAGGGANAAAAAAAAAAGAAAAAAAACATGCAAATAAGGTCACCGTCCAAATCCTGAGACCTAGAAATGAAAAAGTGCCCGTGATCTGAAAGGGGGGCTTTTGGGGCAGCAAGGAGCAAAAAGTGCCCGGAATGACACAATTGTGCCCATGTGGCAACCCTGGGGACTGCTACTGCCGAGTTAGGGCCGGCGCACAATCAAAAAGAACAGGGAATTGAGAACAAACATTAGGAACAAGGAATAAAGAATAAATTTCAACATTATGTAATGAATGTTTCCACGCACAATAGAGGAATAGGGAATATAACCAAGGAACAAGTGTTGGAATATAGGATATAAAATATTGTTTACCCGCCTCTACCTCATGGCATTGGATCATACATACCCGAAAAAATTTAGTGAAGTACAAAATAAAATGCAGGCAGATGAGAATAAAAAGCAAGATGTTGATGTCAATCAAAAGTGTAAAGAGGGGGATGAGTTATTGATTGAATTGATTCGATCCTATCCGCATATATGGGATAAAAAAAATCGCAGACCTCGATTTTTTATTTCATTCGTTGCTCCACATTCATGAAGAGAATTCACAATTTGATTGTTTATGTAGCAGTGATGCAATATTTGAATGTTTATTTACGAGTGGCGAACAGAATGAATTTTATTGCGCATGTCATTTGTGTCTATATTTTTTGATTGTGCGTTGGATTGTTCCCTGTTTCCCACGCTATTTTCCCTGTTCCTAATGTCTGTTCTCAATTCCCTGTTCTTTTTGATTGTGCGCCGGCCCTTGCCCGCGCACAGCCAGTTCGTCCAGCCGTCAGTTTCGACCGTGGCGCCATCACTCCGTTGGGGTCGAACTATTTTTGGCTTGGGGTCACTTCAACCCCGAGATCTGAGCCTCTACTTTAGTCAATCCTCTTTGGTTCGGACGGTTCGGACTCTCCTTCCCTTCTATTCTCACGGTGTGAACGTATCCAGAATTCCACATGTGATGTCTTGACGTTGAAATTTATAGATGGGGCTATTAATCGGCCATAGCAGTCCGCGAGATTCAAATTATTGTTGGAAAATAATTTAAATAGTTCAGAAAATTAAAAATATACCAGAAATAGAAGAATGAAGAAAGTCTGGAATACAATGGACAAAGAGAACGAAAAACAGCATCGCAAGCGTGAGAAAAACCGTTACGGAAGTAGTAAATGTCAAATACTTGAGTTTTGTTCTTATAATTTACAACCCTCCAAAATTCTCGTTGAGTAAACACTTTCTTCGAAAATCCAAAATTTAGAGAAGGAAATAAATTTAACGGTTACGNTTTTTTGTAGTGCAAAGTTTAAAGTCTGAAGTTGAAGTATTTTGAATAAAAGTGTTTGTGTGCTCTCTTAAGCACTTGTGTTGAATTTATTTCACAATTCAACCCTTCCAACCAAATATTCTGGGATTAAACAATTGGACTTCGATGGAGTGCTCATCAGAGCTTTGGCGGCAAACGAATCTACAGTCAAAAATTGGCGCTCTAAAATTTATTGGCGCTACTGTCCTCCTAGTTACTTCGGTAGGACATAACACACATTCTGGGAACGTAACTTACTGTAACTTACGACGTGACGTGTATCTACACAACCACATTTTTATTATTTCTTTCTCAAAGCAATAACCGAGGAGGTTTTCACACTGAGTTGAATCAAATCCATCAAGATTTTACGAAAAAAGAAGTATGAGTATTAGTTCTGTTCTTACGTTGAGTAATTGGAAAAGTAATAAAAACGATCAAGCCATGCCGAGTTTAATTTCTAGTAATTGGTAAGTTGAGCTATTTTTCTTTATTGTTATCGCAGAGAGTTTTATTAAAGTGTCCGCCATCTTGCAATAATGTTATTGGGACGATATTCAATAAGTTGAAGGGACGTAGCGCATTTCTGAAGATGTTTTATGTTGGTTGAAGATTTGTACAAATAACATGGGTAGTTCACGTTCTTCAGAGACTACACGATAGAAGATTCATCGCAATTTAATTAAAATGGTAGGAGGTGATGAAAATCCATTGTCACATAGACAAAATCACGGAACCGAATTGCTACTCTCGTGTGATGATGGAAAAATGCATAAATAAAATGGGATCGGGTCGGATGAAGAATTTCAATTAGCCCAAATAATCTAAAATCTCTTGACTTATTTTATTCCATACAACTTGCAAATAGCACTACAGAATCGATGTTTTTCTTCAATTCAAGTTGAGTATTTATTACTTGACTGGGATTCATTGTCATTTCATACGTCGTTCACGGCTGAGTAACATCAACAAAATATAAAAATTTATCATCTCAGGTTGCTGTTAACAAGAGATATTCATTTCCGTTGTACGATTTAGCTGTGATACGCACTGTGATAAGAATTTGATCAAACTTATGGAGGTGTAAGTGATATACCTGTGGAAACTATTGAAAATTCATTAGTGGAGTGGTGAAACGAGATAAGATAACTGTTATGATAAAGTGTATGAAGGCAATATCAAATTTTTGTTAGTTCCATGGCATTATTTCAGAAACAAGTGATATTAGGATTATTAAATTTCAAGGGATCTTCCATGTAAAACAAAACAAGTACTACAAGCAAGGGACCCGCGAAAATTTCGTTTCTTCTCGTTAATTGCGAAATACTGCTTCAAACCACATGTCAATGCGAAATCGATTCATCTATTTTCATCGCTCAATTACTTTCTCCCCTTCTCAATTTCATTTGTTATTATTTAAGGTTCAGAAATAGCTAATGTTGCCGTTCCTATTCAGCTGGGTAGTGGTAACTAACAAGACACGAATTGAACGCAGGTTTTCAAATAATTTAGCACGGACAAGAGAAAAGTCTCTCGATATTTATCTCCACAATAGCTACTTCCAAAACGGTCTCCGGGATAATATAATGACGTACATAAATATACAATGTTTGAGTTGCCTCGTCTTATCACTGGGCCACAGAATTGAATTAGTCAATGTGTTTGAAAACTTGGCAGGAAAGATGAGTATAGCAAGTCGGAGTAAATAGGAGTCGACCTTCAATCACTTCAGGATAAATTGGAGTCAACAATGAGGTGCAGTTAAATGGAATGGGGAGACATTGATCGATTGATAGCTGAAAATTTCCGTTGATTATCTGATAGAAAAACAAATCCTGAGAATTTCCTTTCTAATCGTTCTTTGTATGAACAAAGACTCTTTCTATGGTCGTTTGATATTCTTTATTCTCACCACTTTACGACAATGTTTCTTATTATTTCGTTCAATAAATCTTTCTGGTTTTGCCGGAACGTTGGTTTTTTTCTTTTGAGAACTTCGACAGTTCGAAAAACTATGTTGTAATCATAGCAAACAATGTTTAATTTTAGAGAATGACTCTTTTAACGCTATTTATCTATCACCTCTATTACACTCCATGCTAGCTCTCCAATATTGGAATTGTCCATTTAACGTTTTTGGAAAAGTTCGGTCACTACGGAGATCCGACAACATTTAACCTTACTTTTTTCGTGGCATTTTTTTCAAAATAATTCATATAAAAAAATCCAAAACATCTAATGTTCGCTATTTTTTCACCACAAAATTTTATACTCTTTCTCCTTGTGTCAGAATTTTGTCACTTTCCTTTACGTAGCTAGATTTTGTCACGTGTTAATTTGTTCTGCAAATCTCCCCCTAAATCAGGTATCTAAACAATGCACAACTTTTACTCAATTTTTTCTAGCATCAAATCTAAGCGATCCATATTTTTTCAACTTTTCTCAGCGTAATAGATAAACAATTTCAACATCCAATGATTGAATTATTTACAATAGTAGATTTTACACATTTTATCTAATGTGAATTGAACTTCTACACTGTCATTCTAAAACAGGATTTGGAGAGATCTCTTTCCATTCTGAATTTCGTTAATATTATAGAAAATTTTCTTACTCATTGCCATATCATTATAACATTTCGATACTATAGATCTTTCACATCTTCCGCTCAAAGTATGGGCATCTTCTGTTGTCTATTATAAAGAAATTTTCAAGTAATTTTCGAGCTTCTATCAGATTGAAAAGTATAGACCCCTGACTTTGAAAATGTTACAGTATGAACCAACGAAAAATCATAAAAATATATGGAACTAGTTTTATTTTTTTATGTCATTTCTACGTTTCTCTAAAAAAAAAACTATTTTTTATAAACAATTGGTGAAAAGTTTTCCAAAGTTTTGTCATATACCAATGAATGTATGAAGTTTAGTAGAATTTAAATCACGATTGTGCAGCAACACGAGTCTTAAAAGAATTTCATGTAGAAGAACGCCCTCCTGACTTGTTCTCCTGATTAATGATGCCGCGAAACGTGAGAAAAACGAGACGAGACGAGAAAAGTCATTCGAGACAATGACAGAAACGAGACGAGATGAGAAAAGCCGGTCGAGAATGAGAGAAACGAGAGGCGAACAAGAGTCGAGAGAGCCTCCTCCTCTTTGCCCCTGTGTATTTTTTTTTCCGTGCGAAATTGGATTATAGAGACAAGAGAAGAAATTGCTTTCTCGCATTTCGATACGAAACGAGACGAGCCGAGAATAAGCAGTTTCTCGTCTCGTCTCGTCGCTCGGCATCACTGCTTCTGATAGCCTTCAAATAATTCAATGGAGCTATTTACACCGGAACTTTAAGTCTTTCAAAGTTCGGTTAAAATGATGTCTATTCCTGTCCAACTCTCGGTGAAAACACGGCGTTCAATTCAATTGTTCAGTTGAAATTTCCATGTCATGAAATGTCCCCATGTAAATAGCCCTAATAATTAATGGAATCCTACATAATGTAGAGTTCGTTCCTCTAATACTAAAAGTTTTTTAAAGGACATTATTAAATTCATTGTTGATTAATTATTTCAGTGAGTCATCAAGTAAATCCATGGAAGAGACCCTCGAAGAGACCATCGGGGCCCAGCAATACTACTCCATAACGCTGGGTGTGGGGCCTCTGTGGTGGTCCTGATGCGCCCCATGCCGCATTGTCTGTATCTGCAGTCAACACAGAGAGCCGCGGCGTGGGGATTAAACAGAGTCAGCTCTCTGTGAGCTCACACATTGTTTCAGTAAGTTAAGCATTCAAGTTAAGCTTTTCCTTAATTCTTCAATACTAGATAAGTGGTAAACGGTCAAAATGAAATAAGTCCGGAAAATAGATTTTTCGGCTATTTTGCGACTCTTTCCAACTGAAAGAAATTAAGACGAATTTATCAGAGGATCTCTTTCTTTGCGGACAACCGGGAAGATCTAACGTTTTTCTCAAATAACTCATTTAAGAATAGTTACATAAATCAACTAGAAAAATCACATGTCAACGTATGTAATCGAACTCATGAGGATGGCGACATAAGAACCTGAATTCATGAGGTGGCAGCTCAACCAGCTAAGACCGGGATCTTATATTTGCATTCGTTGGATAGTAGAAAAGCAGAAAATTTATTATTTCATTTCTTTAGGCTATTTTTGTTGGATAAAAAGGTTTTTTTTTGTAAAGTATGTGATAGTTTAACACTCGTTTGACTGCAATTAAGACCATCAGTACGAAAGTCTTCTTCCTGCAGAGAATTTTATGAAGCATAGAGAAGATTTCTTGACGTTTTTCATTAAATTTGCTAATTTTTCAAAGATATTCTTAGTATTTTTTACTTTACTTATTTATTTTGTACTTTGGTTGAAGGAGGAGGAATTATTGAAAGCTATTAAGGATAATGAGTCGCTACGTTTGAAGTTCACTCTACATTTAACTGAGACAACTTCAGTCGAATGGGAGACACTGATATGGCGAGGTACACTCTATATCGGGGTGCCAAGCTGTCTTCTTCCCGAGGGCTCCAAGGAGGGCTTCGTGTCGCTCTTGGAGTACGCAGAGGAGGTACTTCGGTGCAACAACATTGTCGTTTGTCTACGCAAAGATCGTTCTGATCGAGGTAATTATTCCTTAATTCTACCGAGAAAAATAGCTTCAACCAAATTCTGCTAAAACAAAGTGATGGAACAGTTTGTCACAAGAGATTACGAAATATTTTTTGTGAAACAATTTAATCCTTTAAAAAATATCTCTCTCGACTTTTTTAGCTGGAACCAATTATTCCTAAATAAAACAGCTCTTATAAGGTCAGAAATATATCGGGAATAATTAATTTTTCAATTTCAGCAATGCTGGTTCGTACCTTCATGTTCCTGGGTTTCAACGTCCTGCCCCCGAATCACGCACTTGTTCCACCCAATTGCGATTCGGGTAATCTCTACATGTTGTACACTGTCGAGTAATTCATCAAACTCCCGAATTTATCCCTTCGAAAATTCATAACCAACTGAAGAAAAAAAAATCCTCTACATCAAAGAAGAATTATTACAATTTTCATTTCTGCTGCGTGCGCATGTGCTGTAGTTCTCGATACAATCAACATTGTCGAAAATTACTGAGCAGCATCGTTATTTTCTCCGTTTGGAAAAAAATTTAATTTTTGTCATTCCGGCCGTAAGGCAGCGTTTCACGGACGCTCTGCTTCGCTCCGCATCCGTGAATCTCTGCCTACGGCCGTCATGACAAAAAATATTGTTCGTCATACGGCCAAAAAAATTTTTCTGACGAATATGATTGCAGCCCTCGCCTTTGGCTCATGCTGCAAACCTCATATTCGCCAGAAAATTTTTTTTCGGCCTAATGACGAAATATACTAATTCGTCAATACAGCTGTAGAATGAGTAAATTTGTCAAACATATTCTTGAGTAGATGGAATTATTGTAATAACGATTGATTTTAGTTAAACGATTGTTCCTGAGGAAAATTCACGATTATCGAAAACTCCACTCCACAAATCTCGAAGGGATAAATTAATTAATAAATTCGTAAGATATACGACAAAGTATAGTTGCGAAAACGTAGAGCACATCAGTTGTAACAAAATGCTTTCAATTCTCAATTCTCTGAAGCAATCAATTAACATCTATTTTCATTAAGAAGCTCACAGAGAAGGCTTTTCCTTTCCCCCACGTATTTCAAAGTGGCTTAGATTATATATGATGCGAAATAAATCCTCAAATCATGGATTATATACATCTATATTTGCTGCCATTTGAGAAAACTTGTTATCGTTAAATATCAGTGTTAATTACTGTGGCAGTTTTGGAATTATCTTCCTATTGATTAATGAATACCCTTATGGATCTATTAATTATATTGTAAGATGCATTATAAGTATTACCTGCAATTTAGTAATATGTATTTTAGGATTGAATGGTAGGACAATTTATTATTATACTTGTATTTTTTTTGTGGTGTTTCAATGACAATTAGACTTTTCGCTTTATTATTTGGTTTTTTTTCTTTTCATTAATCCAATTCTATAATGAATGACAAAATTTACAATCAATATAAGTTTACAATGGTTTTTGCTATTATTTTTTAAGTAAAGAATTCAGGGGAATTCAATAAACCTCACAGTATCGGAAATATTTGCAAAGTAGACTGAATGAAATTTGATGACTCATTGTCGTTTTGCTAATTTAGTATAGATTTATCATCTATGTACCCGTTTTGTCTGTGAGTTGTAGTATTGAACTTGATTTCCACTATCGAACAGTGACTCTATAATTTTTCATCGTCTTTCATTATAAAATTGATAAAAACCTTCGAATTGTCATTGATATATCTTAGTTGAATGAACAATATATTATTTTGTTCTTCATTTATTATAATAGTTCGTTGTAACATTGATAATTCCTAATCGATTAACTCTGAAGTATTTGCGTTAACAAGTGCGGCATCTGTGTTACTCAGCAGACAAAAATATTTTTAAAAAATGTAATAAAAAAAATTTTAAACGACAAAAATGCAAAAAAAATGTAAAAATATTAAAACTAAGAAAAACATTAACACATCCACAAACATTGGTAGAACGAACAGAGTGATAAGAAATTGATCAAATTATATTGGATCTGAATTCGGAATTTACTAATAACTTTGGAATGAGTCAATTGCGTTAATTCTGTAGTTTTCCCTGATAAAGCATGAAAATTACGAGTATGGCGACTATTATGGGTATTCAGTTATGACTATCATTTGAATTATCCGTCAACCTGGGATGATAATTCTTACGTAAAAACTCAAACATTATTGCAAAATAAAAATTCATAAAATGTTAACAATTTAATTGTTCCTTTATTCACCCCAATTACTTGATATTAATATAAAAGGCGAAAAAATGGGCATGATCTAAAACTTTGAAGGGAACACTGGATCATGCCTATCGCAGAATTACTCTTCGACCACAATTTCTGAAAATATGGTCATAGAAAAATTTTGTAATTGCCCAAAATCTCCAGGAAAAGAATCTCTTGACATTTTCAGAGATATTTCCAGAATAATTTTTAGATCTGTCTGTTTAAGAATTAATTTTTGGAACACTTGAGAATTACATACAAGAATGATTAAGACAATGATGATGATAAAGAAGATTTATTCGAAGATTTATGTATCAGTGGGACATAATGACATAGTTGTGTATGCAGGACAATCAATCTCAAATAGTCTCAAATTACAGAATAGAAATAGCTTCAATAACTTTTCCGAAATTACAAATACATGAAAAAACATATTCTTGATGATTCTCCTCCCCATTTTCATGTAGCATTTTTAGGTACAAGACCGAGGCTATCGAGCATTCCCGTTGAGCCCCGGCCCTCAATACCCCCCGAGACTTTCTTACACTTAACAAAATGTGTAGCCAATAAATTACCATCCTTAGTCCCATAGCCACATGAGCATTTCATCTTCTTCTCAAGTGGAATATTAATAAGTGGAGAAGGAACAATAAGACTAGTCATAGGACGTTCATTGTGAATCTGCTGCTGATGTTCCTTGAAGGCTCTCCAACAACAAGTGACATACCGGCACTGGCTACACTTCTGCTCTCCTGGATAATGATCCTCCTCATCAATATCTTCCTCACATTCCTGACAACGGAAATGATACAGCGAGTTTGGTACATTAACAACAATGGGACTGTTCCATCTGTCAAATTCCTCATCATCCGGCAATTCTGGAGGAACAGGACCAACGTCAATTCTCTTCAATTGATGCCTGAATTTAGGAATCATTATGCGTTTCTCTTCAGATATGGTGGGGGTCTCTTTGCTGCCAAGCCAGGGTATATGAAGATCTGCTTGATGCTGCTTGAGAGCACTCTTCTGATTGAACCAAAGGCAACATCTGGAGCACTTGTTTCCCCTTCCCTGCTCTCTCCTTAGAACATGTCTCTGCATGTGTACCAAATACGCCTGAATGTTTGCAGAAATTGCAGCCCCATCTATGCAAAACTGCATGACCTTGAGACAATAAGGACATTGTAGAGAATCCCCTCTCTCATGAGCCTTATAAAAATGATCAACTGCATCTTTATGACTTGATGTCCTATATCCGCAGTTCTCACAGCGATATGGCATCTCTGATGATGAATGTGTTGTGCCCATATGTGCAATTAATAGATTTGAATTGGCAAACTTCTGCTCACAGATTCCGCAAACAACCATATGTCCGTCGATGTTACCAAAAGCGCTGTGTGCCTCAGCGATGTGTGTCACCATCATGTGCCTAGATGAAAATGCTGCACAACAGTATCGACACACATGAGAATGTGATTGTCCTGATACTCGATGGGGCACGTGTTTAATCATATGGTCCATCACTTCAGTGTTTGATTTCATAGTTGTTGGGCAGAGGAAGCACGTGAATGAGGCAAAACGCTTTTCCTCCTTTGAGGAAGACTTATCCCCTTCAATTGTCCCGTAATAGAATTCATGGAGTGGAACTTGTTCAACTTTATCCAAGTCCTTTAGATCGATTCTAATGTCTGGACTCTGGCGCTTTGCTTCGGGAACACTTGAAGCGTTCATCAGACGTTTTCGGGTTCTTCTGGTGGGCTGAGTAGAAGAAGACTTTAGTGTCAACATTGGAGCATCGTTTGAAGCGGTTGTATCATTTGACAGGATTATTGGATCATTGGAGTCATTGACGGAGAATGAGTCTCTCGCAATGAATTGTGAGTATGACCAATCATTGAACGGATTAGCAGCAACTTTACTGAGGCGGTCCAGAAGGTTTTCACCTGTGGAAGCCCGGGTTTGCTCAGCTATGTGGCTAATAATACTGTGAAATGCTCGTGATGCTGTTGTACCGAACATCTCCCTCCAAACGAGTTCGTCCAGGAATTGTTGAATCATCTGTCTACTCAGGAGACTCAAAGTATTTTGAAACATCCTGGGAACGATTTTACGAAGGTACTCCATCACCTGATAATTGCTGTTCTGATGACGAGAGGTTTGATTATTGTAAGCAACCTGAACCACTTGATTGAATCCTAAATCGTGAAGAATGCCTTTGTCCACGGTGAAATCTGTAAGTATCTTTGAATCTTTGTCCACCCAATCCTTTAAAGGCTGAAGGATGTTATTAAATCTTCGTTTTACAGTGCGATCGTTGTCCTGAACCGGTTCACAAGCTCTTAGTCTCAGTTCTCCGGTATCTGGGTTCAAAATGCCAAGTACTTCAACCTTCACTTGTCGAAGATTTCCATCCTGCGAAGTCGTTCCAAGACTTATAACACCCACCTGAATACTTCTTCCTTTTCCACCGATCAATGAACTCTTGTCCCAAACAGCCGCAGTACAAACGCTTCTCAAATTTGTGTAGAAATTCTTGACGTAGACATTAGAAATCTTCACCCAGGAGACAACATTCTGTACATTGGTTTGACATGACCAATGGTAAATCAGTTTCAATAAGACTGAAGGTGTATGAGGAGCCCCCTGGAAAATTGACCCTGAAAAAACTGAGACAAATCGATCGGGACAACAACTCGAGATCCAAACATATCCTCCAGAGTACGGAAACGAGCCACAGTGGCTGTACATCCCCAGCTTGAGCTTCGGCTTTTGATTGCCATGTTGATCACAGTATTGCTCAGACTTGACCAATCCCTGCTGTATTAACCATTCAGCGAATCTCGTGGCTGAGTACATCAGTACACTCTTAACTTTGGCATCCAATTCATTTCGCTCTTTTGAAATCGTCTGGGGAGAAACTTCCTTACTTCTCAAAAAGGGTCTCGCAACTACCACCAAAGATGGAAATGTTCTTCCCCCATTCATCTTATTAAAAGCAATCTCACGACCATCAGGAAGATGGCGCTTCGATTCGTCGATGCTGTCTGTGTTGTTTTTATTGCCAACTGCGATGCCACCGATGCAGGTTTGCTCTGTTGGTCTGACGACGATGGGTGCCCGTTGAGGAGTCTTGAGTTTTGAGTTTATTGAGCTTTGAACAGGGGTATGAGATGGAGTAGAGGACGGGGGAGCTTTTAGAGTGGCTACGGGAGTAGAAATGACCGGGGCAGGGGGAGTGGCCTCTGGAGGTGGCAGAAGCTCCTCGATGACATCAGGCTGTTGAATCTGAAGAATTTTTGCTCGAATCGTGTTCTGACGAGTTGCACGAGTGAATTGGCTAATAGGTTGATTGATTGAGGCGTTCTCAGCGACTGAGTGGGCCTGATGGACTTTCGGGGCTTGAGAGGAAAGTGTCGGAGTAGATGTGGTATTTTGGGAAACTGTATTCAGGATCAGACCCATTCGTGGATCCATTACTAGTTGAAGATTGCCTTGAGGGTTGTTCGAGTTGTTTAAAACATTGAGTTTAATGGATTTGGGGGCTTGCGTTTGATTTATAGCCGGCTGTTTCAAGATGGAGGAAGTACCAGGACCAAGTGAGTATTGATAGCCACTTACGGTGCTGGTTTGCGTCAGGAGTTGACCGTTGTCTTTCTTAATTATCTCATCGAGACTAGCAATGACTCGATCGTAGTCCTCTTGGATCCGCGACTTAAAGGCGAGTTGAGCCTCGGAAAGGGGTTCCTCAGTGCAATCGAGATTCAGAGTCATGTCGATCGGACGGGTAGTGGTTATCGAGCGGGTTAGCACACGGCCGGGGGTCACTGCCGTCATGTTGATCGTCCTCTAAAATCCATTGAAATAACAAATAGATTATGTAGCAAGAGTGCACGATGTGATCATTTTACCACGTGCGAAAAAAAAATAAACCGAAAAATTTCGATTTTTTTTTAAGGGGATACGTCAGTGAAATTTCACTGGGCCTTTGGACCCATTGAACAATTTGTGATATATGACGGAATATGGGAACCCGATCGATTTTGCCCCGTACAACCACAAAAAACTTCATTTTTTTCCGATTTTTACCTTCAAAATGCTCCTTGTGCCGTAGTTTTCATACGATTTTAGCTTTCTTTTTTTTCCAAAATGTTCGTTACACTCCAAAGAATAAAATTAAGCATCCGTTTTACTTTATTCGCAATAGATCATGAATGAATGAATTTTGAATTTCATAAATTTTTCGCGTCTCTACAGTAGGACTGAAAATTGAACATTGTAATCTTGCATAATCTAATTTTTATGAACAAAAAAATGGCAGGTTAAAGCAAAAAGGCGGGTTCCAACGAAAATCGATTGCTAAAAATAATGAATTTTATGTCGCGCCGTGCAATAAGTCGAGTTTATCGCACGTTGCGCTTCGCGCAGCCTGCTCAAAACTCGACTTTTGCACGACTTGACATAAAATATTATAGAGCACTCGGTAATAAATTTCGTTTTCAACGAATGTGTAGTTTACAGGCCGAGCCGAAGGCGAGGTGAAGCTAAACTTTATGCTTTGGAGTATAACGGACATTTCGAAAAAAAAAGCTAAAATTGTATAAAAATTATGGTGCAAGGAGCATTTTGATGTTAAAACCAGGAAAAAAAGCAAGTTTTTCGTGATTGTACGGGGCAAAATCGATCGGGTCCGCGATTTTCCAGAGTTATTGCCATATTTCGTTATATATCACAAACTGTTCAATGGATCCCAAGGTCCAGTGAAGAATTTTAAGTTTCACCGACGTACACCCTTAATGCTTGATATTTATAACCGATTCGTTGTACAATAATTTTCTGAAAATATCTTCAAAAATATGCCATTTCTTCCATCATTTTTGTCTCTGAGAAGAGTTGGCTCAAATCTGACACAAATCGGGGTAGAAATGAGACAAACAATTTGGTCTAACTCTTCTCTTGCCCATTTCAAGGCAAAACGATTCTTGGCCTTCAGACAAAGGAAGGTTATGATGAATTTTTCTTCCGATGGCTTGAGAATTCAACTTAATCATAATTGCTAACATGGCTGTATTTTTGTTCTTCTACTTACTTTGTTGATTATTATCAATCACAAATAATTTTGGCTCGTTTATTTCAATAAAACGATTAATTATGCTGCTGTACTTTGGCCTTGTTTTCGGGAAGCCTAAATACCTGCTAAATACAGTCCCTTCAAAACTTCATAACCTGTTTTACCGTTTCAAGCCGACAGCGACAACAATATAAGATGGCGACACTTGGAATCTGTTGCCCTAGGGAGCAAATAGCCACCTAACAGCCAACTAATTAAGTGGCTGTTAGGTGGCTACTTGTTTTGGTTNGGCTACTTGTTTTGGTGTAAAAAAGGGTAAATGATACCTGGAACGATTATGGATGTAAATCTATGAATTATTAATGAATTTTAGTAGCTTTAATGACATTAATTTCCATTAATTAAGGAAAATAATAGTTTGCATATTGAAAGGGAAAATAAATCAGTAGGGGGAACGCCACCGGATGGCGGCAGTGTCGACTTCTCGCCCAGGCCGATAAAGTCGGCAGCAGTGGCGGGAGAAAATTGATTATCCAATAGGTACATATTGACGTTTTTTTAAATTAGTTTAATTCTGTACTGACACAATTGCCCTACGTGAACAATGTTATCGCAAATAGATATGTAGGAGGAGAATGCTGCGGGTCAAATAGGGGCGAAGAGGGGCATCAAATAATTAGATAAATAAAATAATGGAATCTAAAAATTTTGAACTTTGTTAGAAGTGGGGGGAAGGGTATGTATACGGAGGGGTGAGATTTTCACCTGTTGATG